TACTTTGTTGCCTTAAACTGGTTATCTATTCCACTTCTCAGTATTGAAAGAGTAATAAAATGTACTTCTTCTTTTCAGGTCCTAGGCTGAGCACTCTGAAAGGGTCAGTGGTATCCTATATGATAAAGAGGTAATATGCAAATTGATCATCATGCCCTCGCACAAGATGGCTGCCCCCATGTGGTCACAAGATGGCCACCCCCCATGTCATCACAAGATGGCTGACAGGGGAGGGCAGTTGGGGGCAATCGGGCTGGCAGAGGAACAGTTAGACGTCGATCAGGCTGGCAGGGTAGCGTTTAGGGGGTGATCAGGCTGGCAGGCAGAAGCAGTTAGGGGCAATCAGGCAGACAGGCCGGTGAGTGGTTGGGAGCCAGCAGTCTTGGGTTGTGAGAGGGATGTCTGACAGGGGTCGGGCCTAAACCGGCAGTCGGACATCCCCCAAGGGGTCCCTGATTGGAGAGGGTGCAGGCTTTGCTGCGGGATAAACCCCCCCCCCCCGCCCAGTGCATAAATTTCGTGCACTGGGCCTCTACTTCAATATACAACTCTTCTCCTTTCAGCTTCTTTAATGGGGCCTTATAATCAAAGCTGTGCAAATTAGCTAAATTGAGATTATTATTACAAACCTAAATGTTTTCTAATAATAAATTATCCTGAAAGGTAAATAGATCAGTTGCCATGAACAACACAGAAAATGAGCCCCTGTCCTGAAGTGAACGTATTAAATTAAACTTTTGGGGTTGTGTGTGAGGAATTATTGTTAAGCTCTGTTTTCCCACTAAGATTGGGCCGGTGTAAGTGTTATGTGCTTTGACCTGCATCTGAGAAGGTCTCAGTGGAGGGCAATTCTGGAAGCATGGTTTGTTTTTGTTTTTTGCCATTTTCCAACAGATGACTTATCAGTGGTTGAGGAATCCTTACCCTACTGTATTTGGCCTACAGATTGGAAGTTCTGAGGCACCGTCAGATACTTGTTTGAATGATCAGTTGATATTAATCACTATTTCTCCTTCCCCTTCTATGCCCTCACCCATCTTCATTAACTCAGACAAGCACTCAATTTCCCCTCAAGCCTCTGTTTTTGTGACAGTGTGTTATTCACTTTGGTAGGTGTGTAATGACCAGCTGGATGGCTATCCCTTTGATGTTCTTTGGGCACCCTTTGGAGAAATAATGTAGGAAGGTGTGCCCTGTGAGCAGGCAAGTGGGCAAGGATCATGTATCGAGGATGGGCACCTCTTCTCTCTGTGTTCTTCACACCAAGTGTTCCTTTTGCATGAATTTGGCATTGCCACCTTCTTAGAACCCAAAACTATTCCAGAAAGTGGACCTATGACATATTTTACAAGATTCAACTTTCACCAGCCTGGTTTTGTTCTCCCGCTGCCAGTTTACATGTACATAACTCCTGGTCTCAATATTGCATTTCCTTCTAGTATTGCTGTGGCTCAGGCTATAGTGGGGTTTTGTTTGTTTGTTTGTTTTCCCCTTTCATAAAATGTAGACAGTACAGAACCTGACAAAATTGATATCCTTTTAAATAAGTTTTCCCATACATAGTCAAAACAAAAATGAGATAATTTTGTCCCTTTTTAAAAAATATATAATTTTATTGATTTCAGAGAGGAAGGGAGGAGAAAGAAATAGAAACTTCAATGATGAGAGAAAATCATTGGTTGGCTGCCTCCTGCACACCCCACACTGGGGATTGAGCCCACAACCCAGGCATATGCCCTGACTGGGAATCGAACTGTGATCTCCTGGTCCATAGGTCGATGCTCAACCACTGAACCATGCTGGCCAGGCGATTTTTATCCCTTTTAAAAAGGGGAATCCTACATGAAGATATGAGACCATTCCAGTTCCAGTTTTGTTCCTATTTCAAAATTTGGGGGAGCCTAGGAGTTCTGTGGAAATCATTCTTCCTGAGGAGTGGAATCTTTCTTGAGATATCTCCAGTTTAAGGCAGTTACTCTTTGTAAGGAAGGACTGTGAATTCCTTTTAAGAAAGATAAATGAAAATTAGAGGCTAAGAAGTTACTGATACTTGGTAGAGAAAATGCTGGGTAAGAGAAGAAAGAAAAATAGAAGTCGTGTTCATTTGTTCTGGAAAGAGTGGCTTGATTTCTGAAATAACTTTTGGAACTAGAAATTTGAAGTCAGGTTATTTTGAGTTTTTTTAAAAATGAAAAGTCAAGTTATTAATATTTGAAAAATGGCTACCATGTGGTTCATAGAACAGTATAATACTCTTAACAGCATTGCAGAGACTCCATAATAAAGATTTGTGAGATCCACATCATATAACAAATTCTATTATGGAAATCTCTGTAAGTCTATGTTTTGCTTGTAACTGTTTTCATAGTTATGTGCCACTTAAAAGCCCTAGTATTTTGCTTCCCTCTTTCATACTCCCAGTCTTCTCCCTTTTTCCTTTTCCCTTAAAACTAGAGTGACCTATTATTCTGCAGTCTTTTTACTTATTGTAAGATGAAGAAGTGTCATCTCCTCAGTTTGGCCATTTAGACAGACCATTTTCCTTCCGAGCACCCAAAATGGCTGGGCAGTTTATCATTTCTTTTTCATAAATCACTTTGAACCTTTATCTCAAGTTAATCTGTGAAGCTAAACAAAAATTCTTGTTGTAGTATCCATGTTCTTATTTACTCACAAAGCTCTGGGGAATCTTACAAAAAAAATTTTTTGTGTGTAGATACAATTAGAATAGTAATCACAATTAAAATATCTTCTTTGTTTCTAATGCCAAACCAGAAGGTAGCAAGGTGTGTGTGTGTGTGTGTGTGTGTGTGTGTGTGTGTGTGTGTGTTTAGTGCAACTTGACATAGTGAAAACTACAGATTGGCCAAATAATTCTTTCTCTGCCTTAGGTTGGCCTGTCTTGGATCAGAACATACTACTGGTCTTAACTTGTTTGTCAGGGCTGACCCTAGCATGGAGGTGTTGAACTTTAGTTGCCCTCTACCAAACCAATGGTCAGAAAGCCTCACTGCTAGGACAAGTCACTTTCAGGACTCAAAAGAAGTATTCATTTTTCTGTCTTGCACGCTTTGTTTGCAAGCTGTTAATTGTTTTTGTCATTATCAATGTTACATTTGTGCAACTTTGAGATTTATAGCTATAGTATACATACTTGACTTCATTTCTTCTTGGCCACTATCCTATAAAGTAGGTTTCAGTATTCTTAATTTTGTCTCCTTTATTTGGGAGACTAGGACCCAGAGAAATTAAGTGAAATGCCCAAGATTACACAGCTAGTGGTGGGGCTAAATCCCAGGCCTCCTAAATCCTTGGTGAGTGTCCTTTCTATAATGTGACAGCTAGAGTTTGACTACTCAGTCTCAGGCAGCCAAACTCAGTATTATTTGATTGACTTTTCAAAGACTGAGGAGAGCAGGCAATGTGATATTGAGCAAATTATTACAACTGGAAATGGAGTTAATGGTGCTGTGTCCTGGATCCAACTCTACACAACTAAATGATGACTAGTATAGGATTTTTAAATAACTGGTGACACATAAACATGAAATCTTGTCAGTATAATGTAGAAAGAATTCATGTTGTGATCAATGAGCATATAAGAGTATATGTTATATTGCATGTGCTGAGACATTGAGAGCTTACTAAAATAATATTTTCTGCAAGATATATGTTTGAAGTTGAATTCAGCCTGGGGATAACTCTGTTTCAAGACCAGAAGTTTGTTTAAAGAGGAAATGCTTATTATACCCTCAAACTGATAGGCAGATGGTGGAAGACTTGAAGAAACTTGTTTTCAAAGAGAAAGAGAGAGAAAGAGAGATTTATATGGCAAGCTCAAGCCTCTAACTATAATCAATGTGTATAAATATAGTAAGTTAAAGAGGGATGCTCTTCTCCCCCTGATATTCCTTTGCTTTTGGCCTTTTTAAAAAATATGTGTTTGAATAGAAATCAGAGTATGCTCCTTCTCAGAACTGGGGACCCTCCTAAGAATATGTACATTTTTCTTTTTAAATAAAAATGACTAGAAAATCTTTATTTTTAATTTTGCTTTTTTTTTTCTGAAGTAGTACAATAAACAGTCATTGTAAACACTGCAAAGTGCCTATTGTTGGGGACTTTGATATCTGTGAAATATGGCAGTGCTCCTCTTGAGGAGAAAGAGCAGAAAATGTGTTCCTCAGTTAACAGGTTGCAGAGGAGCTGTCCTGACCAGGTTGCAGTAATCTATGAACCTAGTGTTGCAGACTGAGTTTTCCATTGTCAGCTTCTCCACCCCATATCATGAGGATAATCAATTTAGGGGGGGTGTATTTTTTGCTTTCTTAACCCTTTAAGACTAGAAATGCAATAGTTGATTTAGTATGTAGGACTTTATGCTAATGTTTTTGAACAAAAACTCTTCCTTAATTCATAACCACTTAATAAAATTCCTTTTGAAAGGACTTATTGCCTGAATATTATGCCTTAAATAAGGTATGTTAAGAGAAAACATGAAACTCAAAATCCTGCCATTGAAATGTTGGTTTTGTTCTGACTAGGTCAGGCCATTGATTCTCTCAAATCTTTATTTCTAACTTGCCAGTGATCATGAGTTCCTGAGTGGTAACCATCACATGACACTCCCCTGACTAATGGTAAATGAAAATGGGAGTCTAAGAAGTTACTTTTATACTTGGTAGAGAAAATACTGGGTAAGGGAAGAAGGTGCAAACTGATAGCACTGAGCTGCCCTTGCACTTTTTTTTTTTAAATTCTTAGATACTCAGCCTACTTTGAAGGGTTAGTGTGAGGAGTATAGATAATACACATAAAGTGCTAAGCATGTAGACAGTAGTTATTACTGTCATTCAGCACAGGACTACCCTTTCTGAAGACTTCACTGTAACACTTTATTCCTAACCAGTCACCTTCCCATTAATCCTCCTTTACACATCAAAAGCCTGGTTATGAAAGTGTGTGTATTTTAAATTGTATTATTTGCTTTCTTCTTTCAGATCTGTAAGAGCAAAGCTAAAGAATCTCAGCAGTATTATCACAGCTTGGCTGTTCGGCAGAGTCTGGCTGTCCATTTTAACATCCAGCAGGACTGTGGTCATTTCCTTGCTGAAGTCCCTAAGCGTCTGCTTCCCTGGGAAGATCCTGATGCCCCTGAAGAGGAAGAGAATGAAATACAAGAGAATGAAGAAGATATGAAAGGAGAAATTGATGGGAAAAGCCCAGAGTCGTGCTTTGAAACAGAGTCATCCCAGAAAGAAAGCCAGGGAGTCATTAGCAAAAAGCAGAGAAGTCACGTTGTAGTCATCACCAGAGAGGTTCCCTATCTCACCGTGGCTGATTTTGTGCAGGACTCTCTAATCCACCATGGGAAAAGCCCTGATTTGTATGAGAGGCAAGTGTGTCTGCTGCTCTTACAGCTGTGCTCCGGCCTTGAACACCTCAAACCCTACCACGTCACTCATTGCGATCTACGTCTGGAGAACCTGCTGCTTGTCCACTACCAGCTCGGGGGAACCACCCAAGGCCTTGGGCCTAAAGAACTCAATCCCACCTCATCTTGTCTCACGAGGCTTATAGTAAGCAACTTCTCTCAGGCCAAGCAGAAGAGCCACCTGGTGGATCCTGAGATTCTCCGTGACCAGTCTCGCCTTGCCCCAGAGATCATAACAGCCACCCAGTACAAAAAGTGTGATGAGTTCCAGACAGGGATCCTCATCTATGAGATGCTACACCTGCCCAACCCCTTTGATGAGAACCCAGAACTGAAGGAGAAGGAGTACACTCGAGCAGACCTGCCTCAAATCCCACTCCGCTCCCCTTATTCATGGGGCCTTCAGCAGCTGGCCAGCTGCCTCCTGAACCCCAACCCTTCTGAGCGTATCCTCATTTCAGATGCCAAAGGTGTCCTCCAGTGTCTGCTCTGGGGCCCCAGGGAAGATCTCTTCCAGACTTTCACCACTGCCTCCAGCCCAGTGCAGAGGAATGCCCTGCTCCAAAACTGGCTGGACATCAAGCGAACATTGCTGATGATCAAGTTTGCTGAAAAGTCCCTGGATAGGGTGGGTGGGATCAGCCTTGAGGACTGGTTATGTGCTCAATATTTGGCTTTTGCTACTCCTGACTCCCTCAGTTGTATTGTGAAAATCCTGCAACACCATTAATGTATCCTGGTTGTTGCTTTTACTTTATCTTCTCCTTCTTCAAGTCACCCACACACTTGCACATCCTAGTACTCACACGGAATTCAAGGAAAGAAGAGAGACAAACTGTTCATTCCTGTTCACAAACAAATGCATTTACTCAGAAGGTTATCACAGCTTCAAATCAAGTGATAAGCTGAGTCTGTCTTAACTTCACAGAAATTCAACTGCACATTCAGTTTACTTTCCTTTAGAACACTTTTCACTCTATTGTCCCACAAATACAGGTAAAAAATGAAAATGAACATTTTTAAGGGACAGCTCCTTTGGTATGAACTCAGTGAGTTATGTCCATTTGCTCCATAATTCTGAATTTTACCTGTCTTTTTAACATCAAGTATTTATTCTCTCTAGTAATCAATAGATTTGACCAATTCTTACCATCATCCACTAAGCTCTCACAGCAGACGTTTTTCCTCTGTTACCAGGCAGAACTACCATGCTTAGTGTCCACCCAATTTTGGCTCCTGGGACTATATTCTTCGTTCCAGTGGATAGTAGAAGGACAAGGAGAGAATCCATCCCTTGGATCATGGACCAGTTTTCATTTCTATTATCAATAAGAAGGTGTACTGCATGAAGGATGGCCCTAACAATTTCCCCTCTGCTGCTACTGCCTGATTCTCCTTCACCTCTACTCTGTCCCCACTTGCCATTGAAGTTTGGGTTTATTGGCCACCTGTGGCTTGTTACAGAGCTGACCCACAGTGGTGTCACCCATTCCTCATCAGAGTGGAGTGCAGTTTAGATCTTATAAAGAGCTGGCAATACAGAAGGAGATGATTTTTCTGCATGTGCAGTTCTCTAGGGACCGTTGGGGAACAGAGTTTAAAGTACTGTTCTTTGATTACTGTCAAAGTTGGCAGCCAGGGCTAGTGGTGCCCAGATTATAGCTTTTCCTGTCAAGCATTAATTGGCCAGCTTCCTACTATCAGTAGCCAGTATTAACTAGTCTACCAAATGCTATAGACAACTGCCCTGAATAAAACAGCTGTCAGTCCACCTACAAGACTTCCTTAAAGGGCATGGCACAGATGGCTATTGTAATTGCCAGAGGCAGGAGAAGGGAAGAAGGCCATGGACAAGACTGCTGCTGACCACCTCCTCAGGATACAGACCTTTTCTGGAGAGACTGCCTCCCAGTTGCCCTGGCACATTGCTCCTTATGATTCTGAAATGGCTCTGGAGCACAGATGACAGGGAATTTTGATTGCTGAGGTGGGTGGCTGAAAGCTGTTTACCGTATGTGAGGTCTGTGCTCCTTTCCTATGGATAAATGTGCAATTTTTCTATGTATTTTTTTAGCTGTGTATTACAGTGTTTATGTTGCAACTTTACATGAAGCAAAATCTATAGAAATCTTTCCCTTCTTCCCTTGACACATATTTGCGCTAAGAGACACCTTCCATGGGAGGGTGTGAGTGTGTTTATGCTTGTTTTATTCAAAACTATAAGTATCTGTTTATTTCAGTCTTGCAATCCCAGAAGTCACTCGGACAATGTGAGTGTCCATATACATGTGTGCCTATGTGTGTGCACATGCATGATAGAAGTAGAGAGGGGCCAGGCTTCTGGGAGAACAACCTGTGGCAGACTTGATAGACACGTTCTCTGCACCTAGTCAGTGAGGGAGCTTTTGGGACCCTCAACTACTAGTGTAGGGTTTCTTAAAGTCAGGACTGGCTGTGCAGTATTACTTAGATAGCACATTAGTGGCCTTTTGAAATTTCTGTTTTTAACATTTTTAGCAGCCTTTCATGTGATTCACCTATATCAAAGAGTATCAAGAACAGAAAAGATTGTATTTTCTTCTTCTTCTCTTTCTTCTTCTTTCTTCTTTCTTCTTTCTTCTTTCTTCTTTCTTCTTTCTTCTTTCTTCTAAGAGAATGGGACATGAGGCTCTATTTAACGGTTGTCCCTGTCCTCCTGCCAGCAGTACAGGACTCCCAAAGGAGAGAGCTGGGTGGCCCACAATGAGTATTGCCTCCTCTAGTCAGAGTGCAGAGCTCTGCCCCTAAAAGTGGCCACAGAGTGGGCATGCCACTGCAGGCCAGCAGTCCACTCTCTCTCAGTGTCCTGTGGCATGGCTGTGCTTTGCTTAACAGACTGGGGTTTGGTTCACTTTAGCATAGCCCATGTGCACATAACTCCTTGCCTAATTATACACTGAAGGAGCAGCATGCCGACCACTGACCATGTCAACCAGCACATTCCCTTCCCAGCCTCCCTCCCCGCAACCCCATTCCCTGATTATTTGCATATTGAGACACTTTCTCAGTGTCACTCTTGTGCCTTGCCCATGTAAATTTGAATGTTGACTATTTAATGAGGTTTCATATTTAATGATGAAAGGCTCCTAATCCCTCTATTTGTTCTCTCTTTTCTTTTTCTCTCTGTTTTGACTTGGATCCAATCTTCCTCATTTTAACTCTATAGTACAATAAGCATGGACACCCTCTACCATTATAATATAACACTGGTAAACCAAGCACCCCTTTATATCAGATATTTAGTACTGTTTTTATATTCAAATTTGTTAAGTATAAAAGATAAATGCCAACTACCATAGAAGGGCCTCAGGCTTCTCAGAGACAAGGGGCTACATTAATTTTTCTCTGAGTGATGGCAGAAGAATGTGAGGGAGAAAAGGGAAGGTGGTGTTACAGGTTAGAGCCAAATAGACTATGTAACTTATGTCTGGGCAAGAAATACTCAACATTGATCCCCAGAATATTTTTCCAAAATAATGTAATTCAGTTAATCTAATATCTCAAATATATGTTGTTTTTGCATTTCTATTTTAATTGTAATAGGGACTTTGAATTCATGAACCCAAAAAAACCCTATCCTCAGATACAGACAGACAGCATGTACACACACACACACACACACACACACACACACACTAGTATGAGTTTTGGACTGTAACTAGTATAGCACTTTAAGTTTTTTCAAGTACTTCAAGTCTTTAATAGTGATTGGAAATTTTCTTTCTTTTCTATTGAAGTCTGTACTATAGTTTCTTCCATTTATTTTGAGAGTTTAAACAATTAAGCTGCTATTGAAACTTTTCCTTAAGCCACATGAGCAAGAACAATCTCTCTGACACATTTGGGTGCTAGAGAAACAGGACAATGGCTGGAGTAGCCAAGACCAAAACTGAATGTATAACAGAGTGCCTCAGCCAAGTGATAACCTAGTCTAGGAAGGAAGAGAATCAGATGTTCCACAAAGAGGACTAGGACTACGAGTGATCTCCCATGCTAGTATTGAGAAGAGCCCCTTTGGTATATGCACAGTAATGCAATGCCCAGGCACTAGTTCATGAAGAGTGACAGCAGGATGGAAAAAGAGCAATTGTAATCTGTGGAATTGACAATAAAAGAATCATGAGCCCTGGCTGTTTTGTTCAGTGGTTACAACATCAGCCAAAGGGTCACGGGTTCGATTCCCAGTCAAGGACATGTACCCAGCCCCAGTAGGGGTGTGTGCAGGAGGCAGCCAGTCGATGTCTCTCTCTCCCCCTCCTTCCCTTCCACTCTCTCTAGAAATCAATGGAAAAAAATATCCTTGGGTGAGGATTTAAAAAAAAAAAAAAGCATCATGAATAGGTCCACCAACCCCTAGCTAAGTTAGAATTGGAAACCAGGAGCATGGCCTTGGGTTTCAAGTTTTGCCCTCTGAAGATGAACTGAGTGAGGTATAGAGGGGGGGCACAAACTCCCACACTACTGATGTTAGGGATCTAAAAGTAAAATAGATTTGTTAGGATTTTAAGAGTCTGAGTAGCTTTTCATTGTCAGATTTAAGTGGAGATCAGTTTTGTTTCCAAACTCAGAATAAGTTTGAGATTTAAACCTCTAGAAATATTCATGAAATATCTGGGAGTAAAGCTACCTAAAATTGTATTTCAAAGTTTTTAGTGTTATAGGATTCCCATCAAAGATCTTTGAGGCCTACTAAGTAGTAGGGTATAGAAGGGTTGCACTCATCTTCCCAAATTGGTATTAAGAATACTTTGGTGCTGGGAAGTAACCTGCAACTAGGATTTCCCCCTAGATTTTACCAGCAATGATCTGAAAAAAAATACAGGTTAGTCCTAGAAATTGGGATGGACTTATGATACTATACTACATTCCAAGTGATTCTAGATGTATAAATAAAGTATGAATATACTTGGAGAGGGAAGAGAGGAACTTGACTCCCTTGGCCAAGTCTGACATGTTTATATTCCCCTCACTAGTTGATAAGGATTGAAAATTCTGGTCCAGCCTAATGAGTGAACAGGATGGCTTCCCACAAAACTGGGTTATTAGATTTACCTCCTTGAAGCTCATATTCTCAAAGGCCAATAGTGCTGTTCCAAGACAAATTCAAGTGCTGCTCCTCCTGAAGTCTGCACAGAAATTCAGCTGTCCATGTTTATGGCAGCGCCAAAAATGGGGATTCCATAAATGTGCCATACAAGAAACAGAAGAGCTGCAGTGCAAGAGCCTAGATAGAAATTGTACCAAAGAAAATAGGCCTTTTTGTCCTGATGCTTCTAAAGTGATGAGGTTGAGTTACGACATGCCATGGAAGGAGAATTCACATACATTCAAGGTATTTGGCTAATAAAGCAATCCATCCTCAAAAAAGAATCTTTGTTTTTTACAAATCCATTTTGTGTATTAGGGGGCAAAAAGAGGGAGGAGATGATGAGGAGGAAAGCCTTGGGCAGACTATGAAGTTCCTTAGTATTTAAGGAGAAACTATTCCCTCTCCCCTTGTCATGACTGTGTTTGTTGCATGAACTTCAGCCTGGAAACATCATATCCATGTGATACTGAGCTGAGGATTTTTAAAAAGAGATATGGTAGTTTCAACAGGTTGGTTTAAAAAACACTTGAGAAATTTCTTAACATATAGTAGTTTTATAAACCTTCCTACAGAGGTGATTACCACTCATCATCACTGTCATCTAGTATTTTAAGTGCCCAGAATGTACAAGGTGCTATACAGCTGCTAAACACATCCTCTCTGCCGCTGTTTGAGATTAGAATACGTTTTTGCATCAACCACTGCCAGAAGCTTTCCCCACCTAGGTGGACTGCAGGGGCCTGCATTTCGACATCCATGTTTTCTTTAAGAAACTTTCAGGGAATCAAAAAAGATTGGAAATGTTTTAATCTAGCAGAAGTATAGAGTCATATATTTTGTTATGAATATTATTGTATTATGAACAAGTCACTTTGCCCTTATAGTGTGTGGAAAGTGTGTGTGTGTGTCTGTACCCATGATAACTTGAATGCTGAACGAGCCCTAGGCATTAGGTTAGCATTTTTAAAAGATATACCACACTGCTTCAGAAAACTTACTCCAGATACTACTCATTTATCCCTTCCCTTACCAAGTTTAAAGAGTGTTGTGTGTGGACACACTGGTTTGGGATTTTCTGTTGATATGCATGGCATTTGTGTGCTAAATCAGGGCAGAAGCAAGATGTCATCTTTCACAGTGATTTGAATCATGACAGTCTGCATTCCAATCTTTTTCATTCCCCATTGCTCTGCCCACACTTTATATTTGAAAATGTTGTTTCTATTGCTCTTTCCTGAAGCCTCGCCTTTCTACTTAGAGTTGTATAAATCTACCAATGAAAGCTCCCCTCTGTGACCAGGTGGTGCTGCCCTTTGGTTTGCTGTGGTACTTGGCTGTGTTCTCTGTGACATCATTGTTACTCTGTAAATAAATTCGTTTTAAAATATGCTAAAAACCAGAGTAGCACATCCTTTCAGTGCTTCTCCCATTCTGACATGTTGGGAAGGATTTGGTTGTGGACATGGTTATGTCTTAACCCCTAGGATGCATGCCCTCTTGTATTATATAATCGATGCTAATCTGGACCATATTTTTTGTTCATTTCCTCCCTAATCTGAGAAAACTAGTCCTGGAAGAAAAAGTGAAAGCCTTTTACTTTCCCTAGAGCTCAGAAGGCTGCAGCTTTGCTACGTGAGATTGCTCCCTGGTGGCCAGTCACAGTACAGCCTTCCTAGGTTTGTACTATGTGTTTCAAGGCTTGGTTAGCTAGCTCTGAATGACCCAGTAGAAATCTCCAAGCTGGACAAACAGTATGAGCATGGTCAGGGCTTTGTAGAGTATCATCATCTGCTACAGAATTCACATGCCTCTGCCTGTTCCTTAAGGTGTATGGTCTCACACAGAGTCGATATACAAAGGCAGACTAGCTAATTTTTTTAAGTCATTTTAAAAAGTGTTTTTGTTGATTTTTTTTTTTTTTTTAGAGAGAGAGGAAGGGAGAGAAAGAGAAACATCAGTTGGTTACCTCCTGCACACACCTCGACTGGGGACCTAACCAGCAACTTGGCATGTGCCCTGACCGGGAATCAGAACAGCGACCTTTTGGTGCTCAGGACAAAGCTCAACCAACGGAACCACATTGGCCAACAAGCTACTTAATGTGGACACTTCAATAGCAGAGAGGCGACCACCTGGCTTAGGCAAGAAGAGTCAGCAGTTGGCAGTGGTAACAATAGCTGTCACGTTATTAAGAGGAGCATGGATGAAAGTGCAGACATGCAAACTCTAAATTTAGACCAGATTTTAGAGCTCTAAGACCCTTAACACTGGACACTGTGTCCAGGCAGCATTTCTGATCTTCTCCACAAGCAAGCACTCTGGACTTTGCAGACATGCTATTTAAGGCATATTCCAGAAAAGTGATTGCTAGACTTGAGTACTGTGTTATTAAGTAAGCAAAACCCATTTCAGTGTAGGCCTCAAAGCTTTCTCTATTGCCTGGGCCTGGGAGGAAGGGATAGCAACAGAACCAGAGAGTCAGCTCCCAGGGACACAGGCTCTGCCTGCTGAAGTTCTAGGCCTGCTCTCTGGAGAGGAGCCTAGGGACCTGCCCTTCCTAGTTGTGAACATAGCACACTGGCTTCTGGGGAAAGGAACCAAAGAGAAGCAGGCAGTTGTGTCTGAGAGGTCGCAGAGATGGAGTGCACTATGCATGGGTTGCTGCCTAATGCTCTGCTGGCTTGGATGGCCAACCTGGGGCCCTGAAAGGACATGGGCCTGCACAATTGGATCTGTTCAGATTTGCCCTAGTCAGACTCCAGAGAAATACAGTTTGTGTTCTTCCAATGGGTCATTTTGTTCTTTGATATAACTAGAAAGCCTGGAGAGAAATTATACTGTTTCCCATCCATCACTTCACCCAGCATGGGATCTATTTCTGGGAATTCCATCAGTGGGTTCTCAACAAGACCGCCCTTCTCTTTAATTCTGGATTGTCCAGAGGTGATGGATCACTGACATTTGGATAAGGTTTTTGGCTTCCATGTGCCTAGAGACTGGCTTCTTTCAACCCAGGCCATGGAGAATATAGATCTTTCCTACCTGGAATGAACTGGTAAGAGGCGTCCTCTGCAAGCCTGGGGTTATGAGTGTGGACCATCTACTCCAGGAGCTCTTTGCCTGCCCTCCAAAGACCAGAAAATTCTGCTTTTTAAGTGAGCCTGTGTTCTGTGAGGGAAGGAATTTCATTAGTACCTTAGGAGCCAAGAACTGCATTTGGCAGGTCACAAGTTGTCGTTAAGAAGGGCTCAAGGCAATTACAGCTGAAACTTAAAAATTGAATTTTACACTGGGTGGGGGGCAGGAGAGTCAGTTGCCAACATCCAGTTCTCTCAAAGTTATAAACTTCTTGATGAAACAGGATGCCTGAGCACTGGAGACCTCAGATAACTCACCACTGCCATGGAAGGTGCATGGAAACAACCAGAAGATAGAGCAGTGTTGATCACCAGTCTCGTCTCGGCTTAAGAATCAGAATGGTCCTGGAAGAGGTGCTGGACTCCTGAGAAACCTATAAGGGGTTAGGAGGCTACCAGGGGCCCCAGGAGTAAGAGGACTCTGGATCTCTATTGAAGGGACAGAGCTCTAAACTCTGTGGGTCTACCTATCACTCACCAGCCCACACTTGAGCTGAAGTCCTGGAACTCAGAGACAGAGTTAAAACTGCAAAGCCCATGCTGTTCCATCTTCCACTCCCTCTCACCCCAGATGCCTTTTCTCCTTGCACCACACTCTACCAGAGACCCAGGGGCATGTCTAAAACCACTCCAATCCTGCTGCCATAGCCTTTCTAGTCCCATGCTGTCTGGCCCACTAATGCTACCTAATGCTGGGAACAGAACTCAACCCTGAAGCATCATGCTCTGCAGGTCTCCCTCTCTCAACGCCTGGGGCTTGGAGTTGCTCAGCTTCTTCCTCAGACTCCTTCTCCTCAACCTCCCTGCACCTGGGCCTGCTCCAGAAGGTCAGGGCAGCCTTCCCAAGCACCTGTGTGTGAATGACCTGGCCACTGCACCAGGGAGCCCCTAGGATACAGCTGAGTGAGTGCTAACATAACAATGGTTAGTGCTCATTTCCCCCCCAGTCTCACTTCATCCTCACTACCAACCTACAAGATGGCTCCATTCTGCCATTTTTTACTGAAATAATCAGAGCCAGAGTTTGAACCCTATATGACTTCTCGTCCATTACTCTTCACTCCATTCTGCCACCTATGTGTGGCCAGGACACTGGGAGTACTATAGGAACTCAGGGGAGAGCAGAGAAGAGCTTCTTCCTAAGATAGTTGTAGAGCATTGAAGGAGAGGAAGCCTTTCCTGCAGTGTGCTGTCATTCTTAACTACCAATTACTTGGAACCCAGTGGTGGGCAAAGCCAGCAGGAGCCCTGCCCCAACTCCAGAGGGTGCCAGTTGGAAGGGGAGCAAGGGCCAAAGGCTCCTGCCTGCTGCTATGTGCCTGGGGAATGGTTTAAAGAAATGAGGCTAGAGTCTGGAATAAATTTTCTTCCCATTGGCTGGGACAAATATTTACCCTGCAGGCAAAGGCCTTTGAAACCCACTCTGGGCCCAAGGATGCTCTATAGCCCTACAGATGCTGAAGCCTTGACAGGTTAGGCAGGGTCAGACAGGCCACCAGTGTGGACTAGCCATATCCACTCCTTGCCTCCAGGAAGCCAGAAACCAGATTTGAAGGGATTTTGAACAGATTTCTCAACTTCTGTGAACTCTACTCATCTATAGAATGGGGTCTTGTCTGCCATCTCCTCAACAGGTAGCTAGGAGGATGAATCAGTGAGGTAACATTTGTGCAAATTTTTAGATTGCATTGTTAAAAAGCAGAACACACCCGAGGCATTCAGAAAAAAGTTGGGGGAAGAAGAAAAGCATTAGAGGGTTCAGATAAAATGGAAGTTTTATCTAGCCCGAGAAGAGTGGCCTCTGAAGGAAAGGTTTTGAAGGGATGATGTTTGAAGGGCAAGACCCTGCCGGCTCCACCTCCAGCATTTCAACCATGATTTTGTCCACTCTGGAGATCTCCAACCAACTTCAGGCCAATTCTTTCTGCCTTGCAGAGTGGACAAGAGTTCCAGCCTGAGCTCCTAGATGAGGGTCCCCTCTGAGTACTTGTGTCCCAGTAGCTCATCAGGGTCTGTCTGAATGAGACATCAAGGGACACACTGGAGGTCAAAGTCACCAGGCCCCAGAGAAGGGACGATATTGAATGCATTGGATTTCTGAGGGTGAAGGATTCTGTCTTCTCTAGAAAGCCAGCCGCGGGGAGCTTCTCATGAATTAGCTGAATTTTATCTTCCCAACAATTCTGTGAGCTGGGTTCTAGAATTATCTCCATTTTATTGATGGGAAAACAAGCAAGACAGATCTTGTCTGCCCCAAATTCCTAGTGAAGGAACTAGGATTTGTTCTCAGGCAATCTGGCTCCTCTTCCTAGCTTCTGAGAATCATGGCCTTCCTTCCTCACCCTCCTGCTGCTGCCCCAATACCATAAGTAGCTTCTTCTTGACCAAAGAACAATTACAGATCCCAAGTCCCACCACCTGCTCATTTCACGTTGACCAGACCTCCATGCCAGCCTCTACCCACCAGGCTGGCCTCCTTGCTATTCCCTCAAACATGCTTCAAGATTTCCCATTCCCACATTGTTCCTGTCTTTTATCTTCCTGTTCTTCAGGTCCCCATTCAGCAAAGAAATTTTGGAGGTGACTGACTGTAAATGTTCCCTCAGCATCTTAAATCACTATTGCTTCTCAGATTCAGTTCTTGACCTGGTGTGCATGTGTGCCTTATCTCCTCCCCTCCTGTAAGCATGTAGGGGAGGCCTGGCTTCAGCTGCTCCACCTACTGTCCTCTTCTGTCTCCTAGGAATCTGACTCAGGTTAGCAGGAGGGGAGAAGGCCCAAAATGCTCCTGGCTGCTCCTACACCCAGGCCCTGGGAAGACTTCCCCACATTTAATACTCACTATAGTCCTATGACCTCCATTCTACAGATGAGGAAATGAAAACTGAGAATAGGTAAGGAACTTGGCCAAGGCTGCACAGCTAGTAAGTGGTGGGGCTGAGATTCAAACCTAGCTTGGCTGACTCTTGCCCATCACTTCACAAGACTTTGTCTATTGCCTGTTTTTTATGCCAATAAATAGGTCTGGGTCCTATGGGCAATCCCTCCAACCTAGCAGATGAGGGCAGCCAAGAAAGGCTTCCTGATGCAGGCAAAGTGGGGAGGGGGAAGGGTCTGCAAGGCTGAGCAGTCTGATCCCTGGCTCCCTGGAGGATAACTGACCAGGAGCAGGGCATCAGCTGAGGAGAGGGAGGCACTAGCTGCCTTCAGAAGCTTCCCCTCAAGAGGCCCTAGAGCAGATTTCCCTCCTGGCACCCCA